GTTGCGATCCTACTCATTGCCCTGCTCCCTCCTCGTAGGATCCTGAACTCCACCATCTCGTGGTCACTGCAGCCAAGGCTGCCCCCAACCTTCACATCTCCAACTAGACCTTCTTTGTTTGTTAGTACAAGGTCTAGCAGCACACCCCTCCTTGCTGGCTTCTCTACCACCTGTGTTTTATTGACTACCCTGTCTCTATGGCACTCTCCTTCCCCCATCTTTCCTAGTTTAAACCGTCCTTACCAGGCTGGCCAAAGTTGCTCACACGATATGTAGAAATTAAGTATATTCAATTGTTAAGAGAACAAATACTATCTGGCCCAGCTGAAGATGAGTTATTTTTTGGAGTCTGTTCATTTATTCATTTACTGGAATCTGTTCACATGTATATGTATACCTCCTGATAGTTTTCATATATATTTCCCTTAATCCCTTGGTTTTAGCAAATCTCTTTTCTCATTATTTACTTCAGTTTTTCAAATGTAGTACAATTAGCATTTTGTACCTTTATGTCCTATCAGGTTTGTAGCTGGTCAGCAGAAGTAGCAAGCATAACGTATGCAGGAAGGAAGTAGTAGACTTCTGTCCTTTTATAGTCTAAACAAATCATTTGGACACTTAAAACATGTAGCACCATTTTACATTCTATTATGAAGCATAATTGCTGAACACAAGTGAAATGCTCTTAAAAATGTAATTGCAATTGCAGTCCCAATGTTAAATCTTTGACCTTCATTTTCCATTTTTCATTGTACAAGTAATTTTGAGTATTTAGCCTCCATAGAAGCACCATGCAGGTATATCAATTAAACATATGCCTATTTTAATTTAGTGTCATATATTGTGCACACAAAAATAGTAAAATGCAAAATACTGCAAGGATTTGAAATTTCAGTGCTGGGTAAGGTCACAGAAGAATGAATTATGTATAGATAACTTTTATGAAAATGATCTCAATATTTTTTTCTTTAGCTTTTTATTCATCTGACTGTTTTTGCCAGGCTGAAGTATGAGTTACTGAAAAATACTCTCAATAATAAGGAGATTTAAACAGAACAAAAAAATTCCTGAGTCAACCATTTATCTGCTACTGAATTGTGTGAACTAATCTTAGTTAAAGTGAGAGCTTCCCTAAGCAGTTCATTTATTTTAATATGATATAAGCACTCTGTATATATCGTACAGATTATGGCTTACACTATTTTGAAAATAAAGGGAAAAGGCTGCAGATTGCATAGCACACAGGATAAAATCCTAGCCAAGATTCATAGCCTACAAGCCTAAACCAATCAAAGTAAGGCATTATTAAAATCATCTTATATTGCATCTCAAACCCACCAAATTTAGTGATAACCATCATCCATTATTTACCTTAACTAGAAATAGCTTGTCTTACAGTTGTCAGTAACTGAAGGAAGAATATGTTTTAAAATGTGTATCTGTCCTTAATCATATAACGCTGACCTGTAAAGACTCTTTTATGTAAAAACTTGAGTTCTCTCCTATCACAGTGGTTCCACTGGACATTATTATAACTGCTTGGCATTGAATAGAATCAATGTGAAATAACCCTCTGTACACATTTTTTTCAGTTTTCTTAGCCATCGTTTAGCCCCCAAATCCTTCTCTATAAGCTTTTCTCAGAACCACTGTCTCAGCCAGTGGCTCTGAGACACAGTGCTTGCTTGTGTCCCGGCTTTCTTTTTATTTGCTCCAGCTCCTTTGCTTGGGTTTTCTTCTGCTTGTCCTTTACAACTGCACAAAGCTTCAGAAAATGATCAGGAAAGAAACCTCACTTCCCATATGTGCCTCTGCTTTCCATATTGACATGTGCTCCTTCTTTGGAGCTACTTATTGGCCTTGCTTCCCTGCTTGGCTTTACCTTCTTTGATAGAGTGTGGCAAACCAGATCATTAGCCATTCAAAACCTTATAGACACATTGACGGGGACAAAATCACTCTGATTAACTGCACTTTGGATATCAGCCCATTTATCCTTATGGTAAGACATGCTGATTTTGTGCTAAGGCTTATATTAAGACACAATTACTCTAATCCCCACAGGAATGTATTTGAAATGTGTCAGTCACCTGCTAAACTGAGTGGACTGGAAACGAATGGGTTACACAGGTGATTGTGGAGTGGAAGCAGTTTATGAAAATGCTATTTTTGGTATTAACTACAAATAATTACTGGATCTAAAAGTGCATCTCTCAAGATAATACTATTTTTTAGAATCATATCTGTGAGCTATTTCATCCTCTTAGGGGACTGTTTCACGTTTGTGCTTGTGCTTTTTGCAACCTTTTGAGAGTGCTATTGTTGAAAAGTTCAAGGTACATCTCATAATTGCGCCAGGAACATGCATTTATCACTGGCAAGAGTTCTTTGCCATATGAAATGAATTACCGCAATAGACATGTCATGTAATAGCATCTCATTATCCTCCCCCTCTTCCTCCTCTTTCTTTTTCTTAACCTTCTGCAATGAGCTGGTCAAAAATACGTAACAGGCAAAAGTGATTTCTGAGCAAGTTTAAGAAGCAAAAGGATGTTTGTTAAAAGTAACACAGTAGCAGTACAGTGAGTAATTAACACTATGTTCAATACACTGCAAAATGAAAGCATAATAGTAGGTCTCGAGCCCTAAAGCTGCTTCTTATGCCTCTGAAGTTTAGCAGATAGCGAGGCATGTTAGTGGATCAGGGGCAAGATGTGTAACACCATGCAATATCAAGACTTTTTAGATGCCTCTGCCCTGTTTTTTTTAGTGTAATCCTCTGATTACTGCTGAGAGGTAAGGCAATACAAAGGCCAAAACCATGCAAAATATACCCAGACTCTACTTGCTGCTCCTAGAGTTGCTGTGGCCTGAGAAGAGCAGCAAGACCATGATAGAAAGGGGAGGAGGTGACATGTGGGAAACATATCTGAGGATCAAGTTTTGCTTTGACCTTGCTAAGATAGTTCTCTTCCAGCCCTGCAGGATTATTCCAAATTCCGATTTACCACAAGCTGGCATAGACATATAGCACGATATGGACTAGATTTAGCATAGAGGAATTTCTATAATTTAGCAACAGCCCCAAGATGCAAACAACAATCACTGGAAGGCTTTTCAGTAGGGTTCCTCATTTTAACCATTCAGCAAATTCTGTTCACTTTAATTGGTTTGTGGTCCCAGTATAAGTGCTGCTAACTCAAAGACTAAGTTTCAATGTAATGAGGCTTTAATTTCACAAGCATATACCCATTTCACATCCCATATCAATAACGTTCATTACAGCTTTTTGACAACCATCTTTGTGCTCAGCCTTCCCATCCTATCCAAGATACTGCCTCTCTTATCAAAATATGTCTTTCTGGATACTGTTTGTCTAAAATGGTTCTTCCATCCTTGATTCTCAGAAAAGCCAGGATTATCACTGAACGGTTTGTCTACTCTCCCAAGGCCTTGCTCCTGCACAGTTCTAATATACAAGAGTCAGAGTGCTTCTAATAGCAGTGAGACTTGGCATGGTGGCTTCTATCCACAAGGTGCAGCTTAAAGAAACCAAGATAATCAGTGCTAGGAATAGGAGGAAGCAGGGAATTAGTCATCAAAAACTGATTCTCCATTATTAAAATAGGCCTGAATAAGCGAATACTCTTAAGTCAATTTGCAAATCAAAAGCTCTAACTACCCTCTCTTCTACTCCCTCCAACTCAGCTGCTGAGCTTTCAAAGCAAATGGGAGCTTTTAAAGTTCTGCTCTTTCTGAAGATACTGAGCTGAGAGCAAATAAACAGCTCTTCCTTTGGTCTTCTATGAAAATGCTCAACTTGAAAGCAGCTCAGCCACTGACTGAAGTGCTGCTGATTGCAGTGGCCGCACTGGGGAAGAAACAAGCATGCTCTTTTTGATGTTTGATTAGGAGATATGCTGCCATTGGGATTTCAAAGAGAAGTGCCATTTCTACTTCCGCAAATTGTACCTCCTCTCCCAGCAATGCTTCCAAGGTGGCTGTGCAGTTTATCTCAGCTGTTTTAATGCTCCCAGAGAATGCTACAGTACATCCTAGCCTTTCAGAGTTCATACCAGGATCCCTTCTTAACGTGAACTCTCTCTACTGGTTCCCAGGCCACCTGCATTCTCAGGCCTCCTGAATTCCTGCTTCAGACCTGACCTCAGGAAGAAGAGGTATGATGGATTTGTCTCCATGTTCTAGTTATATATGCAAAAATTGCACATACACAATTTTGCATATTGTCAAAATTTAGCCCCAAGATAACATAGTGAGGTGCTTAACAGATAGGGCACTATAAACATATTCATTTAGGCCCCAATTCAGCTTACCTGTGGTCAAATCATCAATGTTTCCAATTGAACTTTGAAGAATGAGGAGCTGAAAAATTCCCTTCACCTTTTCACCAGATTAAGATATGCAGTACAGGAGAAATCATCTTCACTGTTAAAGAAAAAAGATATTCTGGCATTGAAAGGTATATTTTGAAAAATATATGGTTGGCTTTTGCTCCCAGTAATGTCAATGTCAAAGCTCCAACTGACTTCAGTGGGAACACGATTGTATCCAACGGGTAAATAATTACTCATATTTTACATCTCATTGTTACTGAAAACTGTTCTTCAAAAAAAAGGAAATAATAGCCTGAACTCAAGGACTCTATTTAAAAAGTCATTTGAACTGCATTCCAGTTGAAATCACTCTTACCAATGAAAAGATCTTTTTGCTTATTCAAAATTTACACAATTAGAAAAGCATAAAAGACATGCTTTGCTCTCTGTTCCAATCTCAGTGTCCTGTTAGTCGTCGAGTGTTTAAGAATATTTCCAAGCCCAAATTTTGGGATTTTTCAGAATCTCTGCTTTGTACTAGTCCCAGCATTTTAATGTGTTTTGAAAACCTCCTCATGTCAAAAATATTTTTTCTTTCATATTTTTCTCTTTTGTAAAACCTCAGTGTATCTATTCAGCACTATTAAACTGTTATCTCAAATGAAAACGGGAACATCATCAAAAGGCTGAGGGTATTATTTATCTTAGCCATGTCTCCACATGTCAGAAAATTAAGACAGTGATGAATTACACATTACTGTACAAAATTTTATTATCAGAGACAAAATTCAAATTTGTTCTGCTTAAAATACAGAAGATAAAGTTTCTCATTTAAAAAAAATCCATTTAGTCAGTCCTTAGTTAGAGTGGAATAAAAATTTCATGTTGAACACATACTGGTCCCATATTTATGGAATCGTTTTTAAAGGTATAGCATGGAAACACACTTTTCTGGTAAATTGTAACATAAACTCATATATTTTATTTGGTTAATGGTTTAAATTGCTTAGTAAAGTTGTATTTTGTTGTATTGTCGTTAATTAGCATTGCACAAGTAGTTCCATTCTTATTCCCAAATCCTAGAATGGCTTAAACAAAAATGAAAAATCTTGTTAAATTTGACATTTTGAAATTTACTGAGACTCATTATCTCCCCTTTCTATGCAAAATATACGTTTTCCTATAAAAAAGAAAAGAGAGAAGAGCATTTGGCCCAGTATAAAATAAGTTATGATTTTAAATTCAGCAAAAACGCATCATTCTATTCCGCACTTGAAACACGTGTATAAATCTTTCACTTTCGAGAAAGTCTGTTTCAGCCAGATAAATAATCTGATACATAATTTAAAGCAGGTGGTTAGTCTCACAGAAATCACTGGGACTGCTTACGTGCCTAAGTATGTGGCTGAGTCACGGCCAGCAATAGCCACACATTCAGCACATGTCTAACTGCTTTGTTGAGTCAAAAGCAAACAACTAACGGAAGTTTTGCCAAAGCAAACAGTCCAGAACTAGAAGCTATACACGCATGTATATATAGCACATACAGAGAGAACTCTGATACTACGTGATGATCTATATTTCCTGTAAGTTTAAATGACATTCTGTTCCCATAAACACCATCTCATGTGCAAAATCATTGGTGAACTCTATCTAAACTGAGCCAGTTCCACCTCTTACTTGACAATTGCATTCAAGAAGAGTGTAGATTTGAGAACAGATGGAAAAGTATGCTCACTTAATTAGAATATTTAGAATTAATATAAGGATGAGACAGAAATAATAGAGGAACTCATCCATTATAACCAGCATTAATAGCTGTAGGACTTTTTCTTACTTTTTGTAGTGTCATAAGATGTTACATGTAGAGTCTTTTGGGAAAATAATGCAATTTACTATGAAGCCTTTATTTCAGTATTATGATCCATTTATGTCATTGATGTGTATGTAGTGGAACAGATCATTAGTTTTCAGAAAACTGGTTTATGTATACATTTATCTTCTGCAAAATAGAGCAACCGAACACCTTTCAGCAAAACATCAGACAGAGAGCTACAATCTCTGTTTTTATAAGGCTATATGTCTCATCCACACTAAAGCCAGTTGTCCCTCAAACATAAAAACAACATAGCAAAATTACATTTACACATATAATAAAGTCGTCTTTGTACAGGGTAATTATACAGTAATTACAATGATGTTTCCATTAGAAAACACGCAGAATGTTTTTTTCACTGAATTTCTAAGTCCAGGGAACTCGGTCGTTGCCAAAATCTACTATTTGCAGTAAAAAGAGAGGGTAGTAGCCACACTCTTCACAGTACAGTATTCTGCAGTTCTCCAAATATATTATAAAGTTTTATCATACTGGAGCCAATTACAAAGTATTATTCTAACAAAAAGCAAAAGCAGAACAAAAAACATTTGTCATCAAATATGTGCTACTGGAGCTTACGTACAAATACACAAAACAGTCTGTACATCAGTCTAGCTGTCACCTCAGGGGGGTGTTTTGAAAGCAGTGGGCTAGATCCTCAGCTGCAATTCACATCATTCACTTCAACGGATCTACCTCTCTGCGTACCAGCTGGGGGTCTGAGGCCATACATATCATTGGTTTGGCGATAGATTATTTTGAAATTACAGAAATTAATAAATCCCATGGACTGAAACGTGTTGCAGAGAACTGAGAATGCATCTCGGCTCTTGGCCTCATCCATTAAACCAATGATATCAGTCTGAAGCAAATCTGAGCCGAGCTGTCAAGGAAACGCTGGGCACTCGAGCTAAAGCATTCTGGCTCGTGACTGCTGCGGTACAGTCTGCTCAACTCTTACAACACTGCCGATCTGTATGTCCTCTGCCAACGGTGCTTTAATAGCCTTCGGAAATAGTGCACATAAAGTAAACAAAGCGTTCAGAAATACTACTTGGCAATTCAGCACTTACTTCGCTGGCTATGAATTAATCAAATATACATGCTGTTTTCTGAGAGAGGACCACAGGTCTGAACCCAAAGCACTTGCTTCATGTGGGTGATCTTTCTGTAACACAAAGTCGCATTGAAACCAGCTCCACTTGTAAGTGTTTCATAAAATCTGACCTCAACTGTGCTACAATGTAGGGGTATTCTGAGGTCAAGCTACCCTCCAATGTCAGCATGAAGTGACAAGACAGAGCTAAGTTCAGAAGATCAATCAGCTTTCTTCAAAATACACTGGATTTTAAAATTACTCTCCAACTTAGCATGTGGCCTTACTTTGGCAAAAAATCCTTATACATACCAGCCCCTTTCTCCTCTTCCTTCTCATTCAAAACTAAATTACTCATGTAAGAAAGGACTACTTGATCAAGACAGTGGTTTTAATGGATTTCAGTATTTAAAATAGGCAGAAGTTGCCACAGTCACTTGAGAAACAAAGTGGTTAATTTTTTACAGTTTTGTATATAAAAAGGGAACTACACAGGCACTAGTGCTATATAGATTTACATGGACTTCTGAATTTTTTGGTGGTGGTATTAGTACAGCTACTACTACGACTACGACTACGACTACTACTACTACTACTACTGCTATTGCCACACAGCTCTCTGAGATGTTGATGTCACCTGACACTCTGACATTCAGTACACATAATCTACGCTCATTTGTAGTGGCCTACTTCCAAAATCTTTGTGACAAAAACGCCTGAGAAACTCATGGCATATTTTCAGCATCAACAAAAAAACATATAGGAGAAGACTCTCTCCGTTCTTATATACACTTTAAAATTCAAAATATGTTTGACCGTCTGAAATGACTTCTGAAAAACAGACATGACAAAATTCTAGGCCTTTACAAGGATTTCTGTCAAGATTTTCCAGTCTGGGTGACCACAGTGCAGAAACTTAGATTCTTCTGTACAGTGCAGGCTCAGTAGCTGGACCTTTATCTCCTGCGAGCACAACGCAATGACACTAATCTCTGAAGACTGTGCACAACCTGTAACCAGCACAGGGACCTTCTGCCCCTCCCGTCTAGTTGAGGGAACCTTGCATGGGGTCTCTCTGCAATTCACGAGTTCCCAGCTGCCTTCCTGACCCAGTCAGGCTGACAGCAGCGGTGGATGATACAGCCAGCAGTTTTCAGACTGCGTAAGGCTGGGAGAGCAGCCTATATTTAGGCAGGTCAAAAGCAGGAGGACTGTCTGTTTATTTCCTCGTGCTCACCCTGATACTGTGGCTGTAAACTCTGCGTCAGGACAGGCAGCACAACATGCTGAGTGCTCGTTACAGAATGGGTGTTAACTAGAGTATATTTAGATAATACAAATTTGTGATTTATATTTTCAGAGTCACATCCCTTTTCCTCAAAGGAAAAAATTTACGCTTGACTCAAAGTCTCTTTTAATTGCGTTCAGTACTGTTAATGATCTGGGAAAACAAATCCTTATTCAGTAGGTACCTAAACAAGGCACCCTTGTCTGCAAATACTGGCTTCACTTTAATATTATCACATTCAAACAAAAAAGACATACTGACATTCTATTGGAAAATTATCTTTACAGAGTGTATTTCACATCAGCATATATATAACATTTTCTTCTCTTCTTAGCCTTTAGTCTTTACAATTAAGGATTTAATTGTACGGTCCAGGGTCTTTGCTGTGAAAGCACCCCTCTGCATCAGTAGAGGTATTTCCTTTGACACTCAAAAGCTCAATGAAATACCCACAATTGCCCAAAAGCTACACAAAATTCATCTTCAGTTTCCAATACAGTATAAGAACTCCTGCTGCAATCACTGAAAAGACCATCCAAGGTCACATACTTGAGGGTACTTACTGACATATGAAGGTTTTCATCAAAATCACTCAAAATTAATGTTCAAGTACTCCCAATAAAAGCAGAAGTGACATTTCATTTCAGAATAATGTTTTCACGTTGTTCTGCTCTAGTCACAATTAGTAGCTACCATCATTTTAATAACTATCAATATTGAATATGAGAACCATTCTATCAGCTACAAAGTAAAAGGCTGAGGTTTTTTTATTGTGGACAATGTTATAAAAATATAACAGGTTACCATATTGTTATGCTGGCATTGATTTGCATCTATTCATGTGTCTTCCCATATGCTTTAATATGCCATAAAGAATTAGTTACAGCAAAGGATCCTGAGTCATACAAAGGCTAATTAGAGATACAGGTCTTACCAAATCTCTATACAATGACTTGTGGGGTTTGAGTGAGGTCCACCTCTGCACTAGATCCATATTTTGCAGCATCTCCTCTCACTAAAAGGGACAAAATGAAATCGTTGTATTTGAGAATGCTGCAACATTCTGCTGTTTTTTGTGTTCTTTGTATTTGAGAATGCTGCAACACAGACCAAATTATAAAAACGGGGCCTGTCTTTAGATAAGGACAAAGGAAGAAAAGGACTGGTAAATAGAATAAAAATCAATAAGATAAATATATTTTTCTAGGTGGACTTATTAGAGTATTCCATGAGGTATCATAACTGTGTGCCACTTAAAAAAAAAAAAAAGATTCTAAAGATATAACTAAATAAAGGGTTTTTGAATATTGTAGAATACAGCTATAGTTTTCTTAGATTTAAGCCATTTAAATTTTATCCTGACTGCATGTGAAACAGAAACATACATAATATAAAAAATAAAAAAATAGGTAATTATAATGGAAAGGCCAACTCAACCTTAACTATAGCAGTATTATCAACATTACTATAATACAGTAATTATAACCAATACATCAGCAGGTATGTATAGTAGATGCAGCTAGGGCTTGATATTTGTGATATACCAGTTGCTCAAGGCCACTAAATATTTACATCCATCAGCTACATGTGCAAGATCTTCAACTCATATGAGCAACAGTGGAAATATCTGCTCACTGCATAGAATACATAAAAACCAGACTATCAGCTTTGGAACATATTGTTAGCCTGTCCTTCATCTGTAAAGACCAGAAGCGTCTATGTACAGCCTGAAGGTATATGGTTTAATACGCAAAAAAGAAGGAACCATCAAAGAGAATTTTGACAGAATTTGAAATGGACAGACCATTATGTACACTACTTTTCTCTGAAATTCCCAAAGCAATCATGTTTGAGGGCTTGGCTTTCTGCACAGTCTTCGGATAACATAAGTTTGGGCTTCATTGAAGGATAGAGGCTCTATTAAAGAATATTTGGCTTGTTTTTTATTATAACAAATCTGCATGTGATTTTGTTCAGAAGAAATCAAAAATGTGAAGCTACATATTGGCATTGAGGTTGAGTTTGGTCAACCACATAACATAATACTTTCCATTTTAAAAAGCCTTTCATCAGAGGATATTCAAGTACTTTGCTAACATTATCAAGCCTCACAACACCCCTGCGAGGTAGGTAAAATACATAGTAGGAGGAGGACTTCACTCAGCATGTTCATGTTATTGTCTCTGGGTGGAAAGGATAAGTTCACTAGCATTACAATCTAGCATAGACACTTTGAGCTTACTATAAGGCAAAAAGTAAAAAGTACAATAGCAAAGGATTCCCTCTTCTTCTGGCTATATGCGGTCAAACTATTATGTAGTGCTACACACCACCAAAAAGTGGGGAAAATGCCCTCACAGGGATTTTGTGCACCCAGCCCACAAAATAGCATCCTCTGCATGGTAGAAGATACAAAATGAGAGGCTCAGGATGGATGCTTTAGCCCATGATAAGGGTATGGTAGCTTACTTACAGGATGTGTCTACTGGTTCTTGAAGAACAGGGTACCACGGGAGTGAGAGGCTAGAAAACAATACTCTCTCCATGTTACTCTGATAGTACTTGAAGATGCCAGGTTTTGGTTCTTTTCACTCTAACACTTCCACTCTTGAACAGCTTACTAGAGATGAGCAACTGCTACTATGACACATTTTGGTAATTTCCATGCCCTGAGAAGGACTCAACCAGATAAAATGTCTATTTGCTGCTTTCACTCGCCACATGCTCCCTACTTATAGGTGATATTGTGATCAGCTGGTTGCGATGGGCTGGGCTGGGCTATAGAAACGTTGCAGTACGTCTACTTTCCTCACTGAGCTGCTGCAACCTGCCTCTTGTAAACCCTCTGCAGTTTTTGCTTCTCCATGGCACAGACATGGGCAAGTATTTGGCCCTACGATAAATCAGTTTTATCTTCAACATAGAGCATCAATAGCACAGATGGTCATTGTACAACTAACGGTTCGACTATATCGCCAGTGTCTCAGATTAAGAAAAAATGAACAAACACATGATTTAGAAAAGTATCACTTCCCCGGAAAAGTTTATGTGAAATATAAGAAAAGAGAAAGAAAAGTTTTCTCACTATTAGGCAATACTAATATCCACACACACACACACCCCTCTTTCTCCATATTTCACTTTTCTAAGCTGACATAAGTGGTACATCCCATATTTGCAAAAATATTGCCCACCTGGAAAAGCTGACTTGTCTATCGTAATAAATCATTACAGAGGCTGGTCTCTGCAACTCAGCTCTCTTGGTTAATTCTATGCCTTTGCATGTAAGACATCCTCCCCTTTTGCTAATTTCCGTTTGAAGCTTAGGTTTATTTATAATACTTGTGCATTATCAGCTGCACTACTAATTATTGCATGGGTTGGGTGACCCATCATGAATACCACTGCCTTGTAAAATTGCTCAGAAGAGGTGGTTCATGGATTCTCTCCAATCAACTATGCAAAGTTCTCCTCATAAACACTGCATATGCTGATGATCAAAACTATATGGTTGCACTGATTAGCAGCAAATAATTCTATATAATTACAGTGCATGAATGATATCCCTCTCACACATCCATTTTCTCTCTCTCTTGGTTTCTCTCTCTCTATATATATATGTAGTTTATTTAAACATGGGAATATGCAGCTATAACAACAGGCAACTCAAAAAATGAGCTGACATCTTTATAATCATTAAGAGAAAATCTGAGTGCTGGACTACTTGGCAGCTAGGAGGGACAGCTGATTTTACATCTCATACTGCCCTTACTTAAAAGCCATTTCATTCTCCTTCTTTCCTTCCTTTTGATCCTTGCAACACTGATTGTCAGAGACAGTCTTTGTGCTTTGTATAATGCCCATTTTTGATGTAACAAGAATTCACATACAAAATGTGGCTGTTATACGTAAGCATGCTAGAACACAGGCAGGGACAGTACAGGCATGCACAAAATAGTCTTTGAAGGATTTTTGTTTGTTTGTTTTTTCTTCAAACTGACAGTAACATTTACATGCACCACTTGATAATATCATGTTTGGTTGTGTACATTGAGGACTGAATTTCATAAGCATTCATGACCTTCTCTTCTGCAAAACTTCTTGACAATTTTGCAAGAGCCCAGTGAAAAAAATCCATAATTATAGGAAAAAAAACCCTCCTCCCTGCAATCTGATTTTGTCTTCGAGAGTTTAATGTCAAACATCCCTAAAATTTCTCCTTTTCCTCTTGCAGAACTTCATGTCCAATGGTCAGCTGGAAAGACCGATTAGTGTGTCAAGGATTTTCTTAGCCACTGGAATAGTTCTTCCTTATAAAGCCTTTGCCACCGCACATTGGCTTCCACTGTTTCCACAGCCCGAGAGAAAGAGGCAGCAGCTCCCTCTTCATAAGTCTTTATAAAGTTCTTTAGCTGGAAATACAATTTAACATGTTAAATTTGCAGGAACTAAAGAAAGTAAATATTTCAAGAGCACATAAACAAGCCAGGCATTTAGGACAAACCTCCCCAATCACTGTTGAAGTAAATGTAATATCATGCAGAGAGATTTAATACAAAATGTAATAAGACAGCACAACTCTGTCAATTACATGTGATGCAATTGCTTCAAATTGCACTGGAAGATATGGACACGTCAATGCCGGATCACATTAATATCATTTCCTCTGCTTCTACTATCGCCCAGCTGCTGTACTTCGCAGACAGCTGGGGTTCTCTGAACTTTCCATTTCTACTTAGGAAAATAAATTGGAAGCACTGGAAATTCTCCCCATTCAAGTCTATAAGCAAATGTTAGCAGAACGTAGCCCCGATGCCCTTCAGTTTAATCAAAGTTCATAGCAAATTTATTTAATTTTGATTTGCAGAACCCTTTTGTTTAGAAAAGGAAGGGATGGTTTCAGTGCGAAGAGAACAGCAAGAATAGCAAACGGGCACACACCTGATGATTTCTGAACTCTCGAAATAGATTTTTTCCCTTATGAGAAATCTTGGATCTTTTCTCAGCAAACTGAAAAGGCCTTTGTTCTGTTCTCATGTACACTCAAATTATAGCACTAACATTTCGATTATTATAGCTGATGGCCCTGATGTGCTTTGAATTACTGTCCTCTTTAAGTGAGGAGAACTGCGAGGATGATCTGCACAGTAGGTTGCTGGTTATGTTGATTTGTATAAAATTAGTTGGTTTCAGCCACACTTATTGATACTAGTAAACTCGTATTTCCTGGTGATGCCATATTACCTTGTGCATTTAAACCTGACTTCCAACAACTTCTCTTTGTGTACAGTCTCAAAAATGAACAGCTGGCCCTGCAACTATTTCATTTGCATCACATTTGAAAAGATAGAAGGAACCTGGAAACTATCAAAATCAGACTTGACCTGACATCTGTGCTTCTTGTACTGAAATGCTTATATGGCCAGGATTTTTTAGAGGAAGTATAAACAGGCAACTTGCCAGCATTGCCATGGAGGTGGAAACTGAGGATACAGCGGGCAAGGATACTCACAGCTGGCTAGTACCATCCTTGCCAGCTGGGCAGCCTTGAGGAAATTAGCTGTGGCTCTTCCCAAAGTTCCTGAGTCCGCTGGGCTTGAGCGCAAACAAATGGTTGGGCACAAACGTGATAGCGCAATCAGAGTTCAATTAATGCTAATTAACTTTGACTGTGTAAGAACCAGTTGATCTAGGGGGTAATATAAAGCAGCTGCTAAGCAGGATGTAACACACCCTCATAACTACCTCAGTTAGGGCAGATGTTAAGTAGAAATGAGAGATCCTGGCAATCTAGATGAGAAGTACTCAGTATTTAGAAAAAAAAAATTACTGTGGTATCTTTCAGCCAGAATGTCAGGGTTAATAGCTTTTCTCACAATGAAATACTGCAGGCAAGAGAAGAACAGTGAAGGCATTGGCAGCTTCTCCTACTTTTACCACAGGGGTTTTTTAGGGCTGTTTATTTCCTCTGTAACCTAAACCAATATGGGTGGAAAGAGCTCATATTTAACTTCTCAGCTAACAAAGTCAGTAAAAAAGACTGACCCTTCCTATCCAGCCAGGCCTTTACTCCAGGCTGACTGAAAGATTTGTAACCAGCAGTTTTCCTTTCAACATCAGAATACTTAAAAATAAGATTCCTAAGTAAATTATATTATATTTAAGACAACTCCAAAACCCTGCTTCAGGTTGAAAGTTCAGTTCAGGGCCTGCCACATCCTATTGGAAGAAAAAGAGAAGAAAGATTCACTATAGCAAGATTCAGCAAGAAGAGAAGAAGAACTGCAAAATTTTAGAGCACAGAGAGAACTGCCTGTGCTATCCACCTCCTGATACTCCTTCTATCTGCTTAGGTGCCTTCGCAATCTGCTCTTCATCCTCGTGCTGCATAGCTGCAGGATGGGCCTGTGACTCCAGCTGAGCAAGCTACAGTTCCCCAACAACCAACAGCTGTTCCCAGCAGCAGTCCTTCAGTGCTGCTTCAGACTGATTGTAGAGGAACCCAAAATGACTCATCAGTCCCCTGGGACTGGCAGATTTTTTCATCTTCTCTGACCTTAGCAGCTACTGACACCTTTTGATCCTGCCCTGCTCCCTGCTTACAACAAAACCAGCCTCAGGTACTGAAAATGATTTAAAAATTACCTCTGTTAGTTCTTCTTCAGTATTAAGGAATTCCGTAACCCCACTGATCAGCTTGGAATTCATAAATAATGCTTCTCCATACCTTCAAGAGCAAAAGAAGATACACAGAGAGTTAGTGCAAGGGTGAGGCTAGTTGAAAATGAGAAAATAATCTCCTATAAGCATGGAAGAAGATCTGGGACAGATTCTGGGCAGCCAAGAGAATAGCATTGGAAACAGACAATGTTTCATACTGAAAACCTGGACTGAGGCAGTTTTTTAGACCTAAGTATTCGTAATTAACTTTTAGTGCAAGGCTATTAAGCAGAATGAGTTTAACTGCAGTCACAGATGAGAGTTCCAAAAAAGGAGAAGACCAAACCACACAAACGTCTTGTGCTTATGAAACAGCTTTCCATGTAAGGACAACAAACAGCTCAAAATACAGGCAGCAAAGACAGAAAGGAGCAACAACTACAGAGGAGTGTTCTGAGGAACCCTTCTAGCTGCACCATTACAGTAAACTTTCTGAAGTTTTGCAGTCTTCCTGCATTTTGTGCTCATCTTTCTCATCTACGTTACTAACAGCCCTTAGATAAGTGAACTGAATCAAATTCTATTGTTCCAGTACCTGATAATTAAAATAAGCAATATTGATGAAAAGTAATACTGCTAAAAAAATCCCCTGGGCCATGATGTAGCATCTACAAAGAACCAGTTTGTCAATGAAGATGTGAAAGCTTAGGCACAGAACATTTAAAGGCAAATGTATAGCTGGATAGGATATTCAGCTGCAAGCAGCAACGACATCCTGCAGATACGTGCTTTGAAACTGTTTGTTGAAGTGCTGCCATTCTGCTTGCTTGTCCACAAGCTTTCTCAATCTCCCAAACAAAGCATCTACACCTCTTGTAAAATACACCAGACTACTCCTGAGTTTTCATATTCATTACATGATGGAATGAGTTACCTGACGAATGGTTATCCTTATCTATATCTACACGTATATCCAAACAGTACCTAGCTAATCTGACTATGATCGTGTTAAGGATAGGGAATCCAGCTCCCCTGTTAGATTTGCATAAATAATGCTAATAGACTTCACTGCAATTAGGTTTATCCAGGGGAAGAACTTAGTTTACAAATTGCTTTTATAAACTGGTTTAGAGGGTGAGTTCAAAATGAAAATTGAAATGAACTAGCATATCCACTGCTTTCTGTTCTGCTTCTGTTAGTCTGATATTAAATTAATTAGCCTTAAATGCTTAGCTACTAATGTTAGCCAGACAGTCCTTTAGAAAGAGAAAAGAAAGGGAAATGGAGAGAATGAGGAAGTGAGGAGGGGAAGAGGAAGATAGAGTGGGAGAGGAAAAGCGAGAAGGAAGTGTTTTTTTGAGAAGTTTCTGTTTTAGGGGAAATGTATACTGTGCTGCTTGCTGCCTGGAGCTTGCATGTAGGGAATCATTGCTATAAGTATCAAAAATCCTACTCCTTGACCACTAATAACTGAATTATTCATGGATATTTCAGCAAGCACATCTCTTTTTCCAAAACTTCAGACACACTGACATATACAGACATCCAGAGGCAAAGTCCTCCCATGGGAAATATGGATTTCATGGTCTTTTAAGCACGTTTAGGCTTTCTAACAAAGTCCTTTATTGTTACATTCTCAGCTTAGCCTCATAATTGACTGCTTGGAAAATTGGAAGCTCCGCTTGATGGGGTCTTTTGCGAAGGTTACCAATCCACTTTACAGAAGTGACCCCACGAACACCGTTGCAGGGATTTTATTTTTCTTGCAGCCTGTGCTGTATCCATAGGGTAAACAAAAAGTAGCAAAATTCTTTTCAGTGGAAACTATTCCTTCATGAATACCTGTGCTGGTTACTGCCCATTACATTTATGTGGTAAAAAGCCAGCCACTAATAGCAATTTCTTTGTGGGCTCTACTGTCAAAAACTCTGGTAAAGTCACCTTCCAAAATGATATTTTGCAAGTGTGAAATATAAAAATAAACAGACATCTGGGAGAAAGCATTTGCTCTTGCAAATATAAATCTTCCCACTTTTCACAGAAAAAATAATGGCATTGCAGAAACAAATGCTTAAATGCTTTGACTCCCTGGAAACTTCTTAAGAGTCATAGACTCAGCACCTGCTCCTTCTGTTCTGGGGATCTGAACTTCTAGTGCCTTATATTTTCAAATGCTTTGCACTTGTGTGAAGTAACTTTGAGTAAATTTGGCAGCATATTCCATTTACTTTGACAAATTCCCAAATATTGACAAATGATTCAGCCCTTGAGAATGGATGAATTCTTACTGGCACATGTTGGAAAAAATTTTTCACACACACATGCAGGCAACACACACAATCAGAATGATTTAGAAGCCCAAGTCCTGCATGCTCAGGTAACAGGAATTCAAACATAGCATTTTCTTTTTTTTTTTCAGGATTTCATAAAAGTTAACAGTCTTAGTCACACTAATTTCAAATGAAAAATTTGTTCGTCACCTCAGTTTCAGAGTGATTTTGAAGATTTTATACGTTATCCATATCTGCTAGACAACGTGAATACAAGCCTACTGTAATAATGTAAATGGCTAATAATATTTTGTTGTCATTGTTCTAACTCTTTGATATGCAGTATTTTCAAGCCAGAGGAAAAAGCGTTAAAATTTTAATCACCCTCAGCTATTTTGCCTTACTGTCTCAAATGTCAGCATCTTTCATAATAAATTCAATGGAAAATACCATTGAGATATCACTTTATTAAATTAATGTTTGTTATAAAGTACTATAATTTTAAATAAAATTAAAGGATGACATATAATTGTGGAAAAAATATACTTGAGCCATAATTCTGCAATAAAGTTTGTATTTTAAAAATGTGCTAGTGGGGCAAGCTTAAATCAGAAGCTTAATTTTGCATGCTATCATGTCAGTATTTCACTGAATATTTTAAGAGAAAAGGTATTAGACTAATAGCACCCTCTGAAAGTCTCTCTAAAGTTTTAACCTGTAATTACAAAATAAAGTTATTTTCAATATACATCAGATATCTAAAGCTTGTATAAATTATTTCATTCCATTGCACTGAATCCATTGACGATCAATAGGAACTCTACTGGACGTCCCTTTCAAAAAAAACGCATAAGGCAAACACCAACTGCTACAATCCTTTTGGTGACTCTGACTTGTGTTGGACTCAGTATAGATAGCATAAAGCTGGTGTTGGGTGAAAAGATAGTAGACAGTAACAGGTGTTCCATGAAGCCTTGCTGATCATTAGGAAAGCAGATATCACAGTGATGCATATCAAGTAAGATAAAATAAAATTCAAATTTTAAGTCCAGTTCAACCATTTAAAATTAAAACAAGCAATAAATTTGGGATCTGATATAGTTTTCTAAATCTTATCCAATTGTCTACACTGTCTAAAGTTGTCCGTGTCTAAAATCACAGGTGTCAGCTAGGTGGTCCGATGCACATATACGCTTAGAAGGCAGGACACTATCTTCTGTGTATGTGCTTGTAGCAATACAGATTTTGACACATTTATACCTAAATTCTGTACAAATCCCTTAAGGAACCTGAAAAATTGCCTGCTATCCTGAACATAACTAATTTCACTGGGTTGCATTATGGGCCTGCCATCCACTTTCTGAGTAAAAGTCCAGTTCTTTGGATAATCATACCAGAAGCAGAGGATTCTTGATTTTTAAACTCTTCAGAACTCTCATAGCTTTTTGGAAATTGCTTTTGAAAAGCATGCTCCTGCAATATAAACTTCCAAAACTAAATTTCAGCTCAAACCTATTTTCCTAGTTGAACAACTTCTAAAACCTACTAAGCTATAAAATATTATCCAAAGCAGGATGAACAAACTTTTTGAATCTTTAGGGAAGTTGCACAGACACACTCTGAGCTTTCTTGGCTTTTTTTTTTTTTTGATGCGGTGACACTAAGAGTAAGTTGGTACTTCTGACATGAGGATTCAGTTACTTAAATTTAGGATCTTAAAAATACTGTTTTAAATATTTTGTGGTATCCTACATGGCCTCCTGTGAATCCAGAAGTGAACAGATCTCCAGTACGTTCTGTGGCATATCTGCTAATGTCATAAGGGTGGCTTGCCTCTCCTGGGCTGTCCAAAGCTCTTGGACACCAATGTTTAAGAACCTGAACCTCACGAGAGTTATGGCCCCTTCTAGTCTATCAGTATCAGATGATTTGCTGTGAAATCTCTCAGACTCTCAGGGTGTCCCTAAAGAACTAAAACATTTTCTCATTCATTGCATTAATATTGAAGTCTTCATCAAAAAGGATTTTTAAAATGTTCACTGGGCTTCTCAACAGGAGCACATAGCCCATGTTCAAAGAGAACATAGGTAAGTATATGAACAACACAGTCTCCTTCCTGCTCATCTGTATTTGATTCACAATATTTGAAACTCAGAAGGAAAGGAGATGACACTACATTAGCAATAGAAATCATTTTGAAAACTGAGATATTTCAAAAAGTTTTTTTTTCACAGTTCAATTAATGTGATTGAAAAGAAGATTTTTTTTCTACCAGATCTAAAATTAGCAAAATTCCTTTGGGAACTGCCATTTCTTTTTTAAATCTATGTAAAAGTAGGACTGCAGCAACTGACATATAGATAGAATTCATTATCACAAACGCAAACATAATACAATACTAGATATACAAACAGATGATGACCAGGAGATAAATGTTTCTATGTATGTATGTGGGAATCTATGAATAAATATATTCATGATTCATATTTATTTATCTCATATTTGGATAAGTTTCCTTATTTATGGATAAAAAGAGAAGGGATCAGATTCAGGAACACGTTTATACAATACTTACATGAACAGTATCAAACTAAAACAATGAAAATATTTTTTTAATTTACCTGGCATTTAATATTTTCCATTTTTCTCTGAAAAACTTCCAAGCAAGATCTCTTCCATGTGGATTTCGAGCTACATGGATTATCACATCAATTGCATCCTGATCCAGGACAACTTCTGAGTTGAGGGATAAATTCAAAAGCCTGGTGGGAAAACAAGGACAAAGTATTTAGCTTCACCTGCTTCAATACATGATCTAACAACAGCATATCTCAGGATATGCTAAAAACTCTCAGGAAAAAGCAATGACTGCCAAATGCTTTAAATCTCCAAGTTGCATTTATGGTTTTATTTCTGTGATTCCAAAGATCAGACCAATGTCTGAATCAAATAATCTTGAATTTTTCTATTGAATTCTGGTATTTTTAGAAGATAGCATAACTGGAGGTATGTAAAAGGATTTCAGTAAAAGCTGAATTGAGACTTTTATGTACATTTTAAAAAATCAATAACAAGACTAGACTGTTCAATATGTTTACATAAAGAGTATATTGATTAAAAAAACAGTAATTATCTAAGATTTCAAACATTTCCATTGAACATAGGACAATTTGGAAGTGAAATTACATGAAAATGTGTCCATTTTCATGTGTGCTAATGCAAAAATATAAGATAGTTTAAATAGAAAGTAAACCTGTGCTTTAAAACCAAAATTCTTTCATTTAGACCAAAGCTCAAGTGATAATTCATAAAAACTGAGCTGATTATCAGTAACCATCAGATATAAATAAATAGTATTTTTCTACCTGTTAAGCAAATTTCTGTCATCACTGCAAGTTAAGGCTTCTAACAATATTTTCTTTTCAGACACTGCTGTGATGGAATGAAATTTCATCCAAATGAACTCCCATACATCTTCATCCATCAGTGAAACTCCGGTACAGTAGACAATGTCTCTTACATTAAGTGGGATTCTAAAAAAGAAATCAGTAAGATCGAGCATTGCAGCCTCTTGATACTGGAAATGAAGGAGGAACATCACTACTTTTAGGTGATTACAAAATTAAAGGGCAACAGTAACCATTTTTTGGTGAATTACACTTAAATATAATAACTCTTTACCTACACCAAAACCTTCCCAGCCCTCCTGATGGATTTTCTGATAGCATAATACATGCCTGGCTTTTATTTCATAACCCTGTCACAGTGTCAGAAGCTTATAAGTTGTGGTCTTCTATTTCATCAATACATAATATACCACATAACCTGCAGGACACTTTCACAAGCTCTCCAAATTAGCACGGGATCTTATCACTCTCTCTCTTTCTGGGCTCTAAGCCAAATCTCCTCTTCTTGTCCTTAGTACTGAGTACTCCTCCTTGCTTGTGTTTTAAAGCACTCTATCTTTGTACGGTAACGTACAGGTAAGGAAGGATGTGCTCAGAGAAGGCTACTTAAAAACAGTACATTTAGGAGTAAAGAAAATTCAGAGATCTGTTCACCTATTCAGCAGACTAGTATAAAATCAGCAATGCTATAGGAGGGTTTTGGATGAGGAGCTCAAACAATATAAACTCAGACTACAATTAAATGAAACAATCTCTTGAAACTGAATTCAGACCTAGTAAAGGACATGCATTTGTACCATTTCCTTACAAAGAGATCTGAGTTGGGCTTTCAATTTTCTATCCTACTAACATTTCTGATGCAAATATTACAAGTGGAAACATTTTCCAGTGAAAAATACTTCTACTGGTAAGGCTAGACATTTCTCAGATAAATATGTTCGTGACTTGCAAAAACAAACAAACAAACAAACAAACAAATTCTCTTTTTTTGCCAGTAAAAATTACAGCAAAACATAGTACTCTAGTGATAAACAGCTGGGTTGAAACACCTCCAGAACTTCAAATGTGAGGCCTGTTTAAAGAATCTGGAAACAGGTTAGGCTATTGTCAGTGTCTAGGCAGTAATACAGTGGGACAAAGAATAAAATTACCTCTCTAAAATTTGATATCAAATCTTATACTATACAAAAAGAAAAGTTGCATCAAGACTTTCACTCTAAGACTTCCATCAAAGTCCTATACAAAAGACCAGACTACACCAGTCAAGAACCAAAGAGGCTCTTTTACTACCATCTATTCACCCTTCAGAAAAATTCTTCCTCAGAACTTTTTTGTTGTTGTTCTCAACAGTGGTGAGTGTTTTTGTAAGAAATTTCAGCTAATCCCTTTGGCAATTTTTGAATCCCTGGGAAATGAAACCAGCATGGCTTTTACTGTTGCTGCCTCTAAGGAGTCCCAACAGCTGTGGTGGCTTTTTGAGGTCAAGCATAAAAAGAATATGTAGCTAAATCAAAGCAAAACTGAAGTAAAACTGCACCCCTCCTCCTCCTCCCTGAAGACCTTTGGAGAATTAATGCCTACTGCTTTTTTGATATGCTTTTTCTCAGTGCTAAAAGTACTAAAAAAGTCCTGAGGTCCTCTTTATTCATAGTCTCTGGTTAGCGTAGTCATCGGCTCACAGGAGGTAACTGCAGTTTTAGTTGCAGTCACGTGAATACCTCTGCTTCCTGAAAAATTTATAGCGCAGGCCCGTGCTAACAGAACCACACAAGGCCAGCTTGATTAGCGCTGGGATAGCTTGCATTTGATGCAGACCTACTCAGCCATTTATTTCGGAGTAAACTCTCCAAAGCAAAACTGAAAGGGTAGGCAAGAGACCTATAACCCATTTTAAAACTGGTAGGAACATAAGCCTTTTAACTATGCTCAGCACACACCAGCGATATTGCCTTCTGAAGCAACATCGTATGTGCAGTGCCATGAACTGCTACTATCTAGCCAGGCTAGATTGGTGCCTACGATGCAGATCCTAGAGTGGTTCAAGATCTTGTTGTTCCTCTCCCTCCTCCACCAAATCACTGCGTGAGCACATGCCCATCCCTAGCCATGGTGCACAAGCAGCATTGCTGTAGCTATGACCACAGGGTACGCAACTTCTACATGTTTCTGCCACATAGCTGCAACCTGCAGAAAATGTTAGTTCCTTGGTTCTTCCCTCTTGATGCTTTTTTCTGTTTTCTTAGATTTTTTCCCTTGATGTTCTGATGCTCTAGTAAATTGGGCTTGCACTGAAAAAAGTTAGTAAGTCTCCTAAGACTTATCAAGGACCAGTTAGTTGGTCTTGGCCTTTGTCTGGTCTGTGTAACTGCTTCCGTGGTCCCTACAGAACAGCTCTGCCAAGATTAAGGAAACTGGAAAATTCTTAAAGCTGACCAGATCCATTAAAAGAAATTATGTTTAAACATACATAGCCAGTGAAGAAGTCATCGCTTTCACCAGCCCTTTCAGACTACTGTGTTTTGATTCCCAAAATCTGAGTTATCATTAGTAAAATCTGAGTTTGGGTGACATTTTCAGAACTATCCAAGTGAGTTAGTTGCTGAATTTCCATTTCACTGTAACAGAATTTTCACCTGTTTTTCAAAAAGTGCATGCAAAAGGAAATTGCGTACAGCTGAGTCTACTAAAGAAAATAAAGATTACATCTTTAAACACAAGAATTCAAAAACTACTAAAATTATTGGAGCAGATACTAGGCTGCTTTCTTTGTGCTGGCTTGTATCAGTTGAGAATGAGGCTTACAATTTTCTAAACAGCTGCAACTTTATCAAAACTTCAAGCTAGCAGTTACAGTAATATGCATATGCAGCCATATACACATATAGTGCATACAACATATAGGTGATATTAATTGTCACTATGTCTTGATTTTGACAGTCTCTAGTTCATTTGTTCTTAAAGTGCAACTTCTATGCTGGCTGTATGCAGCTTCTATGCTCTTTGTCTGCTTTAATTCGGGATTTAATAAACTGACAACAACCATAAGGGTGCTAAATTAAAAGGAGTATGGAATGCTATCCTGACAACAGGACCAAATGACTGGTTGTCCCAAATCTGCTTTATCCTATGATATTTGGGTATGAAGAGCTGAATTCAATCAAGCCTTATTTCAGTGACAGAATGACTATATATCTTGACACATAAACACTAAATCACACGTAGTTCTTGCTGAGCTTTGCTGGCAGAAATAATTTCTTTGGTTTACTGAAAGAGATGCAACTCAGCCAACAGACACCGCAAGGAACTATAAGGCACCTGGAAAAGCTAGTCCTTTGTTGGTTGATTGTCTCATTAATTCAAGCAGGAATTGTGTACTGGAAGCATTGTCACTCTGTGTCTGAATACAGTGAGCAGCACAGGTAACCTGGGGTGGATGACCAAACCCAGAAGAAGACAGCAATCCTCGCTTGTGAGGTTTACCTTTTTGAAAGTTACAGTAAAATACATGAATTCAATAGGCTTTCCCAGCTACTCCATCTTCTACGTTCTGTGTTCCCACACTACTGATTTTAGCAGCAGGGCAGTCAGTAACTGCAGGATCATTTGCACACTCTGAGAAGGAAGGAAGACTTAAGAGATTGATGGCATTGATCACATGCCCACAGTTTAGATGCCACTATGCTTTTTGCTAATTAAACTCTACAGCTACCGGATCTGTAACAGTGTACTTGCAGTGCAGCAGCAGATCTATTCAAAAACATCTGACCAAGTGCTCTGGGGAAGATTTTAGGTCTCTATGTATAAGCAAAGTCATTAGGACAACATAAAGAAACCCATCAAACCCCACAAACCGAAACATCAAATCAAATACTGACTTTAAAAGCCTTAGCTTCAGAAACTACAAAACCTATGGCTATGGAAAGCTACAAATTACTCCTGTAAGAGGTTTGTAATAGGGGGTTCCTTTTTGTGGAAATGAAAATTGTTTATGAAAATGTGGATATCCCCAAAGTCATTTCTCTTTAACTATTGCCTCAACAGAGAGCCTTCTAATTGAATTTTCTTCCTTTGTGGAGATTTTTGCTTTCTCTCTCCTTCAGTTATTATGGGCCTGCGTTTCATCATTACCTAAACATGTGAAAACTCCCTGGTCTATAGATTTCTTCGTTTTATAGCTTCATGGAAAATGTTGCTCTAAAACTGCAGTTCTATGGCACTAGATCAGCGTGTGCAATGTTTGCCTCCTGCATTAATTGAATCAAGTGGAAAAAATTAACCATTGTTTCAGTACTGCTTAGGTAGTAACACTATAGAATGTACTCCCTTGTTACATGAAATCTCTTCCGGGCCTTCAAACCTGCTCTCATTTTTTAAGTGCTAATATGATTGATGGATACTTCAGAAGAATATAGATAAAAATTAACTTTTGAAAGCATCACTTTAAATGGCTTTTATTTGAATACTGATCCAATTTATTTAACTTTATTTTTCTTGCTTAAGAGATATGATGGTGAGGATGAAATATGGGGCTAGCATAGATCATGTTTAAAAATTAAACACTTTGGGAAAAAAGTTAAAAATTAAACAGCTAGAAAAAAATTAATTAAAATCATGCTGTGCCTTTACAGAAATTTTTTTTTTTCAAGAGGGAATAACAAAGCTCTGCAATGAGCGAAGAAAAATCTTCTGAGTTATAATTAATTGGTACATACTTGCTCCTATTTAAAGTACGTGCTAACAACTGGAGATACATTTATAAAATTGGACCATAATTATTTATCTTCTGGGCAAATTGTGTTCTATTTTTTTTCAGTGTAATTGCACACAGTTTTTTGAGTAAGTGACAAATCTCAATAGCATTTAGGGTAATATTTGATAAAGAAAATTAACTAGAAATATTATTCTTTATTTTTGCAACGATATAACATTTAGCTTAAGCCTATTCTTCTTGATAACTATATTTATATCCTTGTTTAGTAGGTTACAAAGCTCAGACAAGAAATAACAATGAAATATCGACTCACATGGAGCAATGCATTGGCACTTTGTCAGCAGATACGTGGTATGGATTGTGTTATGAGTAACAGCAAAGCACAGTTTATTTGCTAAGGCGGCAACCCCAAAGC